TTTTACGTACTTGATGCAAAGGCGTTCTGAACAGCTTACCAGCAGATGTACACAGTGAACAGTTACGACAGCGATTAGCGCTAGTAGCAAGGGTCCAATCTTAAAAATAATTTGAAAATATTGTTAACATATTCAACTCCTTGCCTTTGTGCGTTTCAGCTCGCTTGGCAGGAAACTGTTTCTAGAAATCTCCTAAGAGAACGTCGTTATTGTTGTATACATTGGAAAACATGTGATCTTTTGTATTATCGCGGGGGATGAGGCGGAGTTTTGAAATGGGGAATTCTTTAATTTTTTTTATGGAATGTGACTTTTTAGTTGCCTGCTTAGCGGATTAAAGATTTTTAAAAACGTGATGTGGAATACGGAACTTCAATTCTAAACAGACGATTGAAATGATGTTTGTGATGTTACTCTGAGTGTGAATCCACACCGGGCCAGCTTGAAAAATATGCCTGGCCACGGTGTGAATCGAACCTACAACCTTTGGAATACTAGTCCAATGCTCTGCCAACTGAGCTACGCGGTCAGGTCGGTTCGAGTATGTGATATTTTCGGAACTAAGTCTAGTTCCTTCGACATCAATGTAATCTAATAATCATGATTTTTTGTGTTGAATATGATGTTTGTGATGTTACTCTGATCGGAGTGTGTATCCACACCGGGCGGCAAGCTTGAAAAATATACCTGGCCACGGTGGGAATCGAACCTACGACCTTTGGACACTAGCCCAATGCTCTGCCAACTGAGCTACGCGGCAGAGCATTGTGCTATTATTCCAAAGGTCGTAGGTTCGATTCCCACCGTGGCCAGGCATATTTTCAAGCTTGCTCGGTGTGGATACACACTCAGAGTAACATCACAAACATCATATTCACCTGAGTACACAACACCAGCACAAAAAATCATGATTATTAGATTGCATTGATGTCGAAGGAACTAGACTCAGTTCCGAAATATCGCATACTCGAACCGACCTGACCGCGTAGCTCAGTTGGCTGAGCATTGGGCTAGTATTCCAAAGGTCGTAGGTTCGATTCCCACCGTGGCCAGGCATGTTTTTCAAGCTTGCCCGGTGTGGATACACACTCAGAGTAACATCACAAACATCGTATTCACCTGAGTACACAACACCAACACAAAAAAACAGAAATTGAAATATTTTTTCAGCGTTAGTCTTGGGAATGTGTCTCCAAAATTCCGCCTCATCCATTGAACAATCGGAATGTGCCCGCCAGCAAAATTAAAACAAAGCAGAAGGTCAATAATTCATAAGGCTGCATTATCTATATATCTATATTATGACGCAAGTACTATAGTTCGCTATAGTAAATCAGATAGATCGGAAGCAAACGATTTATAAAATTATTTAGTAGATGCTTTATATTATTGGGAATACAAATTATACATCTAAAAATTTATACTATTTTGTAGTTAGTAAATAGTAGTTAACTCTAAAATATGCGGTTTTGATAGTTATACAACCGGCCTCAGGACGATATCTCTATATGCGACTTTACTGATACTGACAGAACCGTCACGAAATTTCGTCATCAATTCTTATAATGATATTTTAAGATATATTAGAGAATTGGCTCATACCACAATGCCTGCATTCATTAGGGCTTTTGGCAGTCCCAGAATGCCAATTCCAATACTGGCTTTCAGAAGATGCATTAATGCCTGTACGTCTCTAGAGAAAAAATCGTCATAATCTTTGACATTAGCATAAAATTTATTGAAAATATGTCAGTGTTGTTATTTATCCTAAAATACAAATCATGCTCCTAACTTTCCTAAGTACAAAACGGCGTCAATCCGTGAAACTTAAAGCAAAGGAATAATCAATCGCTGCAGCATAGGACAGAGATCAGGATGTTCAATAGGAACTGCACGTTTGTGTTTAAAAAATAAATCTGAAATCTCTTACGTTAAGTATTTCGCTTTTTTCTGCGGTATCTGGCACATCACAACATTCTCATCTTCAGATTGGCTTCCTCCGTTTCTATGATCATGACATCGAAATGATCCATCTGAGAGCCTTGTCGATGCCAAAAGAGGCGTACTTTCGTGGCTGCTTGTCATCTATACCAATAGAAAATAAAGAATATGGAGTCTCACTCTTTCAGCAGATGAAACAGATGAAAAATAACCTGAAAGGTTTTTTTTTTGTATTCCGGCATGTTATAGGCGCCTATACACACTATACGGTAGTCATTTTGTCTGGACAGTGCAAGAAATGGCAGATATCAATGGACGTGGAGCTAATTCCAGCTATAAACTAATACAAAGGTCGGATGTCGTTACAATTCTGTGATTCACAAGAAGGGGACCAAATAATGCATGTACATGTACTGTAAAGGACAATGGCAACAAAAAATTTTATTGTCTCACTTGAAAGAACGTTTAAAAGTATCTATAAAATGTTGTTACAGATTTTTCATATCTTGAAATATTTTGACTGAGAGCTATAAATTGTCCGCCATCTTGGAATAATTCTAACCTCATTAACTATCGTTTTGATGACGTCAGGAGTGGGTATTGATCACTACTGGCCGTCAAAATGAAAATAAAAAAACAACTTGTGTGACCCACTTCTGACGTAATATGCATATATAGGAGACCTAGATTGCTGACTCTAATGTTTTCTATATAATGCACGCGCGTGACACTCATGAGCATTCAAAATGGCGGCTCAACCGGGCAAAAATCATGGTTAGCACTATTTTCCATCCAGCAAACTGACCTGGCGTCATTTTCGCAGGTGTTAAATGGCTATGTAACTAACCCAAACCCTACCCCTACCCTAACCCCTAACCCTAACCTCAACCCTAACTCTAACCCTAACCGAATAAATGAAAAAATCCAAAAAGAAACGACTTTACAAAATCGATAGGGCGGTTTGCTGGATGGAAAAAAGTGTTCACCAAAAATCATAGAGCGAGATAGGGAAAAACCATGTTTTTTGCATTTTGCGTCGTCCTACAGCTTCCGATCCCGTTATATCACTTTATTTTGGAAAGAACTAACTGGTGTGAAGGTTTTGGATGAATATTTGTGCAATTTAAGTTTAATAAAGACGAAATAATCGATCGCTAAATGTTTTCTGAAATCGTCACAATGGTCGGTTGAGCAGTTCGAGACATTTTGTTGCAGAAAATAAAGGTTTTGGTTCTTTGGGTGCTTTTTTCTCGAGGATCTCGGTTGGGATATTTAACAAGGAATAATTCTGTGAAGTATTTTGAAGTTAAAGCCTATTTTACTTGATTTATTTGGTCTGCTGACTGCTGGTGCGAAAATTCTGATGCTCTGTTTAGTGTGACTTTGACAACCTCCTTGCTGCTGCAGATGTCAAGGGATCTCAAGTCTATAGGGCCTGGACAGTGAAAAGTGATGAATCAATCAGGTTTGTAGAGAGAACTAGTGACAACGAAAGTTTTCAATGGAAACTAGTTTGAAGAAACTGCCTAATGTGTCTGGTATGCATCAAAAACCTTCACAGTTAGTATCTAGTTCTCTCCAAGAAACCTGATTGATTCATCATTGATAATCAAAAATAGATGGGACGGCATCTTCATTTAGATATTTCTTGGATTGGCATTTTATTGATTGCTCTCTGCATTCGGCATTCTTCCCTTTGGACACTCTCCCCTTGAGACAGCTGACCCAAGCATCAGCACTCTCCCCTTACGAGTAGAATTGTCTGGCGTAGCCAGAGTAAAATAATTAAGTAGGGCACAAAACGACTCAATGGGTTAACTATACACATTTGCAGGTAGGACAGTTAACCCATTAAGTGCCACTGCTCTCCTCTTGATGAGTAAAATTGTCTGGCGTTAGACAGAGTAAAATAATAAAGTAGGGCACCTTGCAACACCATGGATTAATATAATCATCGGGTGTGAAGTATAATCATCTGGTGTGAAGTGTTTCTCACACAAGAATGAATATTTGATTGGCATTGAGTCTGCCCATTTCATTTTTTAGCAGGCTGGGATTGGTTATAGGAAATCCAATAGTGCAAAGGGAAAGATGTATTTTTGGTTCACTGATGTGAACAAAACTAAAACATTTTTGACTTTGAACAGGACAAGGAAAAAAGTTGTTGTCAACATGCATATATAGAGAGAGACTCTCCTAACACAGACATCAAAACAAGAAGTTCTTTTTTGGTCTAATATTCTTTTATTAAAACTGTAAATAGTTTTATATTGTAGCTGCCAAACTCAAAACTACATTTGTTGTGACGTTGTCATTACAGTATTTACAAAACAAATTCTTTTTATTCTATTATTATTCTGTTTATATGATGTAAGTTATAGACTTATAGTGTACAAATATGTGATGTGTATGTGTTTCATAGACTTACTTATGAAAGGAAAATCGAATAACATCCCACGTCTGTCTTGTAGTAATACACTGAACACGATTCTGGCCGACTTTCAAGCATTCTTTTCGATAAAAAAACCCCAGATGGAATAGAAGCCCTAGAATTTTCAGATGAAAATACTGTATTTTGGTCGAAATAACAATGAAAGAACAAAATAAACAGTAATAGCTGTTGGAATAGTTAGAAATATATAATATTACTTGAGAAAAACTCGTAAAAGACTGAAGGAATACACAGGAAGAAACTAAAGACGAAAACCGCGCGAAACTTCAGGCCTGCCCAATCTTGCCCGGTTGAATCGTAATTTGTATTAACCATGGTATAAAATTGTACTGATTGTACAAATTTTCATCCAAAACCTTCACACTAGTTAGTTCTTTCCAAAATAAAGTGATAGAACGCGATTGGAAGCTTTAGGACGACGCAATATGCAAAAAACATGGTTTTTCCCTATCTCGCTCTGTGATTTTTGCCCTGTTGAGCCGCCATCTTGGATTTTCAAAATATGTCACGCCGGTTGAGCCGAGTCAGCAATCTAGGTCTCCTATATCTATGGTGATGCCATTGTAAGGTTTCTGAGTCAATAACAGGGTGTTGACCTTCTTACTCGATAGAACTAAATGTTGAGGACTTGAAGGGTTTTGTACAGGGCAGGAAAAAAGAATTTTCTTCCTGGAAGCGCAACCTGGAGACAAAAATTTCCTGCAGACCAACGGAGTATTTTTGTGCTAAATCTGCATAGTGTTCTAGCTGACCATGGTTTTAAATTCAAGGAATAATGTCTGTCAACCACATGTTGTTGCGCCCATTGTGGGATCTGGGTGTTAAGGTTTCCTTTACACCGAATACGAATTTACTGCAGCTGTTTAACATTTTCTGCGAGCAGTGCTCGCGTGCTCGCCTATTTTTTCCACTCCTGGTTTTGTAAATGGAAATTTCCAAAATGTCACTCCTATATTTACTTAATCCTGAGTAGCTAGTTATGCTGGTTGCCATGGACCATTAGATATTAACATCGTAGAATATCCCGTTGTTGAATGCATGATATTTATTGTATTAGGTTGAAGTGATGAAGAGTAATGTTGAATCGAGGGTAAATGCATTCAAACAAAATCTTGATAAGTTTGCTGCTCGATGGCATCAGTTAAAACCTAAAGATATTGATATGGAAGGCGATAACGAAGCTTGCGTTAACGCTGTCAAATCTATCAAGGAACGGAGAGCTGAATTTAATGAACTGGAAGAAAGCAAAGAGAAATTAATGTACGTCAGTTATCTGCCTCGTACCCAGGCGCTTTAAATAATTACAATACATGAAGTATTCAGGTAGGCAGGCGACGCGCGAAGGGGCTGTTGGGAAGGGTGTGTGCTGGGGAGCGCCTGGCAGTTCTTGTATACTGTCATGGCGGACAAACATGGAATTTAATACAAAACGTTACCATATCGTCATATACTCTGTGTGTAAAACCTTATTTTCTGACGAAGAGTCGAATTGAACGCCATTGGCAAATAATAATACATTTGTACAAGTTTGATGACATACAAAATGCGCGAAATATGAGTAAATTACATGGCAAGTTAACCGTGCGAATATTTGGAATATGTCATTCGGTATTACATGGAGAATAATAGAATGCTATCAGTATAAAACAGTACAGTAACAGAGAAATGATTAGAAACTCATATAATTGCTTTTGTATTAATAACTTCCTTAGCTGAAGGCTCGATCAGTCGATCATAATGCCAATGGCAATTGCCAATTTCTATTAAATGTATACTGTCAACAAAAGCCGAAGTAAATAAAAGTTCACAGCCGTAAAGTTTGAAATATTTATTACAACAGTGCAATTTTATAGTTTGTACCTTTATATAGTTATAGCTTACAAATATAGTTCCTGCAAGTCTAGTTCTTCAACGCTTCGGTTGTTGACATGTTAATATTGGAATTTCCATGGACTGTAAATAAGGCATATGTCATATATACCACGAATAACAGCATGAATTCACGCCCAGATGGCAGAAGAATATTAACATTAGTCAATTCAACAAAAACAAGTAGCAAAAAATCGTAAACGAGAACAAAATATCACAACTTGCAACAAATCGTACAAAGTTGCAAGAAATCGACCAAGAACTGCCAGGCGTCTCGCATTTCAAGTGCACTCTTCCCACCAGCCCCTTCGCCATCTCTCCCCACTACAATACTTCATGTAAACTCATCATATGCGCATCACTGGTTTTTTACAGAGACGCCTGGGTACGAGGCAGCGTCAGTTATGCACATTGCATCTTTTGCAAAATTCATGTCGCCAGTTTTATTTTGTTTGCGTGTATGTCTGTTTGTATACTTGTTTGTGTCCATTAGTAGATAGTCGGGGAATTGACAATTCCTATTATAGACTAATTTTAAAACTAGGCAAAGAGATGCAAATAAATCACCACAGCTAGACCAAATGTGGTAGCAATTTCCGCACGCAATACAAAAGTATACAAAATTTGCGAACTTTGCAAGGGTACATTTTCCGCATTTTACAACATTTCGCAACCAAACTTTGCAATTTTACTAATTTTAGTATGCTCTTTCCGGGAACATACGTTTTTTTGCCAAGTTAAAAATTAGTCTATAATGGGAATTGTGTATTAGTGATGGTATGAATTTGTAGGTTCCGAACATATTCTTACGAATTTATTGAAGAGGATTTTAATTCGCTATTAAGGGGAGCTTCACCTCCAGATTTGGTCGAATGGAGAGCAAAACTCAAAATTTGGAAAACATCACTTTTAGTCGTTGAAATTTTAACTGTCCTACTATGTGAACTACCCCACTAACATTTCTTATTACTGCTGTGATGAGAACCCCCCCCCCAATCTGTCGAGTGATTGAGTTTAAAATGGTTTCATTTCAAAAGACTTCTTTAATCCAGACAAATGTAATTCATAACACTGCAATCGTGGATTACAAACTGAAAAATCTACCAGAATAAAAAACACACATTCCATAATCCCGACATGTCGTATGAAGCGGAGACGCACTACAGGCGTAGTTTCTCGTGAAATAGAATGGTTTCTCGTGAAATTTGGATAAAACAAGCACTCTGCACTCGTGAGGTCACTCAAATAGACCTCAAATTTGATGCTTTTTGAAAAACTCACTCGTGCATTTTGAAAAACTCACTCGTGCACCCGATCTAGGACGACCTCTTAAAAGCCTGAATTCATATCAAACTTTCGCAATACTATCACGAACATTTGAGTCAACTTGTGTCCAGTGCCCCGCGCACAGTGAATGACGCGCAACATGACACTTAATATATGTAAACAAGATGGCGCAAAGACCTAAGCGAGCTTTGTCTCAGCCCTGGTGTCAGCCGATACTTTTTCCCGAAGAGTACAGTGATTACACTCCGAGGCCTTCGACCAAATTCTCCAAAAAGTCCGCAAAGGATAATAATCTTAATTAACAAATCCAGCTTATCAGTTTCAAGTTCATTATAGTATATAGTTACACTATATGACGAGTTTTTCCATGTATTTAAAAGCCGTTTGACTGGGTTTCCACCTTTGGCACGTTTGAAAGCAGCGTGAAGAGAAATGATAGTTTGACCTGAATGCTTGAACTAAGCGTCTGCTAAGCGTGACACTCCGTATGCCACTATGCAGAAGCATGTTTAATATTGACAATACATGGCTAACCAAGATGAAGAGGCATACGAAACGCAAAATTTGGCCTTCCTGAATATTGTCGCTTGTATTCTGTTGACAATTTGTAAATCAAGAAACCGCACGGTATAAATCAGAAAGATACAAAATAGTAAACAGAATTTCCCAAAACCTCAATTAATAAAGACTACTGTACAACTCACTTGCTTATTTGGTGCACAAACGAAGGCAGAGACTGACTCTGAATCAGAGATTCCCCTTCTATATCATCGGCTGCAGCAACAACCACTTGAATACATAATGAGCAGCCAAACAATATTTAAACCCACATCTTTGCGCACATTTTGCCCTTCCAAAATCTTCGAAAATATGCATAAATTTACTATCAAAATACGCGGAATTTTACGAAGATTCATAATATGGCGCTACCTTAGAGCATAGACCTGCGCAGTACGTTCTAGAGCCAGTTTTCTTCGATAGACCGCGCGCGCGGCTCGTTTCTCTATATAGATTTTGACAATTCGCGCATATTTGAGCGAAAAGTGCCCTACGAAATAAGAATTATTTTTAAACGAAAGTTCATTCAAAATGTGTCCCAGAACATAAACTTTCCATTACTGGAGCTACCTAATCACGAATGTAAGAGTACAAGAAGCGCAGGCGAAAAAACATCAAATTTTGCGGCAAATTTGTATTGCAAAAGTTGGAAATATGACACGCGAAATATGAGTAGACTTTTTATTAACACTAAGTTTGATATGTGCGGCATCTTTGCAAATATTTTGATAAAAATATAGCAAAGATTTACACAACAATTACTGATATCTCACTATATATGTAATTGAGTCAATGGCGTCACATGGTTACAAACAAAATGAAATATCCAAAACTAAGAAAACAAAAATCTTCCAAACAAGTTACTATACAGTTTTAAGAGCATTTTCGTTGAAGAAAATAAACATTTTGACGCGAGTGCCACTTTAAGTAAGGGGTAAAACCGAACAAGCGGAAGAAGCTTCGAAGCACAGGAGTTTTCAAGCACGGGAAATTGCTAAATTTAGGTGAATCACCTTGTCTCCAACCAACAGTAAGCAAGCATAATTCAAAAGTAAAGGCAGGTCAAGATATGACAGTTAATCTGGTATACTGTAGTGTGTCTTTAAAACGAGGTGCTATTCAACTCACAGTAGGCAATTAGCCTTTTTCACGGGGTACTATCTCTCCTGCGTTTGAGATTCTCCGCACCACGAAATCAGGCCTTAAAGTATCGGTCGGTCACGGTCATTGTCCGACCCATTCGTGAAATTGTCCGACGTAGAGAGGAAACCACCGGACATTCTGTCCGACCTATAAGTGAAACTGAGGTTTATTGTTTGCCCGACCTGAGTGTATTGGTGTCCGACCGAACTGTAGCTTTTGTCCGACATGTAAATCAAAATGTACCCTAGCCCAGGACTAGAGGCTTGTATGTTAAATGGGAAATCAGAGTACTATTGTATAAAAGGTGAACTGGAAATGTTGTTTTAACGTAGTCCAGCGCGGGGCGGCGAGCGAAGTGGTGAAGTGGAAAACGGGCTTAAGTTGTCGAAGTCCTTTTTAATACTGCTGTTCTGGCAAGCAAGTTAATTTTGGCTTGGAAATAAGTATGAAAGAAACAAATTATTTAATATCTTTACAACATTTACCGTTTATTCATTTGTGTCATTCAGACTTATTTCCGAGCCAAAACTGAACTGAAGGTCATCGGACATATGTCCGACCCAAACCCTACATCGGACATATGTCCGACCGCAACACTGTAAAATATATTTTAAGGCCTGGAAATACGACTTTTTGGTATTGTATATAGTTCTTTGTATAATTGTAAATTTACAGTTACAACTTAAAAAGACGCTTTTCACGTTGTTTGAATTGTCTAACCCAACCCTAGTTTTAACACCATCTGACTGTTTTATCTTTTAACCTACTTTTAATTATACCTCAAACTATTATGTGTTCCTTACACGAAGTAGTGACTTGACAAACCACAAAAAACCTGCAAATTTGTTCCATGGGATATAACTTCATGTCACGCTGTTTTGTGTGAATGAGGGTAAGGATTATGGTCAGCATTCATTAACAGCGACACATGAATCTATAACACATTTTGAATTTATAAATCTTTTTGTATCGTGCTATAGCACAAATAACCCATAGACTTCTTAACTGCTTCCCATGCAGCCTATAGGAATTCCCAAGTGTTTCTCTTCAAGGAGTGATGTTACGGCAATGTAGAGGAAAAGTTATGCTTCGCATAAATGGCGTATTAATTGGCAGACTACATGTCGGCCATCCCTAAACAACTTCTATTTTTTGTATTCAGGCCAGAATTCTCAACTACCATCACGATTGGCATATTGTTGTGTTCGTTTGCCATAAACATGGAAGAGGCAACACCTTCACGACGTATGGAACTCCAGGAATTGGGGAGGAATTTATTGGCACAGAAGAAAACCCTACAGCAACTGGAAATGCTGTTTTTGATGTATTTCGTAATTACACCAAACGTATGTTGTTGTTTTTTTAATAAATAGCGTTTTGATATGGTAACAGATTACAGCAAAGTAACGACTACTAAATAGACAAATTAGATTTCGTCCATGCATGGTCAGGAATGCCGATAAAACTGTGTAAAAAGATTTTGTTGACGCACACAACCACTTACACAAAAAAATTATATTTAAATCTTGCACATGTATTTGGAATATTGTTCATGAATAGTTTGAATTTTTAGAGCAATTGAGTAAAGAGGAAAATAATTCTACTGGCATGGCAGCAGAAGCAACGACCATTGTGGGACAAACTGGCACACACGGCACTTCAGATAACGACGATCCGTCGTCAAAAACACCTTCCGTAACTAGTCAAGTCCCCAAAGCACCTGAAACCACAATCTCCTCTTTACCATTGGTCCCACCTCAACACTGTGTCAGTCCGACTCACCCTCCATCTTCATCATGTAATCCACTTTCCATAACTAGTCAAACCGCCAAAGTACCTCAATCCACAGTTTCGTCTTCACCCTCGGATCCACCTCAACATATCAATTCTGCAAACCCTCCATGTTCATCGTCGTCAATATCCACCGTGGTACAATCCTCCATAACGACCAAACCTGCAATTGCTGAAAGCACGCCTGCACGTACCCTTCCTTTTCAACAACCTG